AATTAGTAATATTACGCTCAAAATTATGGATCAAGATAACAGACTAGTTGATTTTAGAAACGAGAGAATAACAGTTTGTCTTCATTTGAACAAGATCAAGTAAACACTTATTAAAAATAGCTTAAGTAGAAAAATCATTCTTATCTGTCCAATATTTTTATTGGAGTATAAGTATTGCTAGGTTCTCGGATTATACTTATTTGGTTTACATATACTCTACAGTAAACATCTCCAATGATAAAACATCACATTATTGATAAGTTTGGCCACTCTCTGTACACCCAAAAACGAGAAAGAAAAGATTTGGAAGATGAATACGAAGATTATGACGATGAAGATACTAAACGGTTTAGGGTTTCGTCGGATCCTGAAACCGCACGTCAAGCAGTAACAAGAGGTTATTTAACCCGTTACTATATTAATAAACTGGAATTGAAAGGATTGGAAGAAAGACTTAGTGACCTAAATAAAAAGTTGGAAAAACTGCAGGAAATGAGTAATGGTTTTTCAACATTAACTGAAAACTTGAAATCCTCCAATAATGACCTTAAGTTAACAGTAAAAGAAGTCAAGGAAGCTGTTTTTCCTCCAGAAGGATGTTGCTACGATGGTAAAAATAAAAGAATTACTCATGTAGCCAAAGGTATTAACAAAGATGATGTAAGCACTGTCAGTCAAACGTTGACATATGATTTCGAAAAAGATATATTTAAATGTGGTGATGTTGAATTTGATTTGGTTGTAAATAGTCCTTCAAAACCTGTAGTAATAGCAAAAGCTACAAGTATGAGTGGATTTGCAACATATCGTGGTGGAGATTACAAGTTTCGCACACACGTATATCGAGTTGGTGGAAAGCTTATAACACACAGGGGGTCAAAGTTTGTTTGGAATGAGGAAAAACGCTATATCACACCTTTGTATGATGGTGAACAAAGAAAAAATCTATCAAAATTTAAGACCGTAGTGGTGGATAGTGAAGAAGATCTCTAACAAATTAGGTGTCTCAAAAGCTCCAGTCGTGGTTATAGATTGTTCCAAACAAAATTAATCTGTAAAATCTTCAAGCGTGGATATAAAGTTGTAATTGGAGTTGAATGAAAATACAAACGAAGGAATATCCGCTTATTGTTTGATTCTGCATGATAAGACTGTAACATACACACCTCTAAAAGGAATTGTAAAAGTAGTGTTGTAGATGGAAACACTCGTTGCGGGAGGGTATAAATAAAACTCAGAGTAATCGGAAAGCTTCAGTTTATCCATACTCTCAGTACGGAAAACATCGCTTTCAAAGATGGGATCATCGCAGTGTGCAACGGATACAACAACAACAATGTTATTAAAAGATGAAAAAAACAAAAACCAATGTAAAGAAGCAGTATCTGAATTTTTATCTTTTAACGAAGAAGAATCACGTACAGAAAATGATGTAAAAACCAACATCGTAACGAAGGTAATCGGAAAAAGGAAGAGGAAACAAGAAGAGGAAATGCCACTACACAAGTTGATAGAAGTATTTCTTCGTATATCATATCCAGTTTCAAGATGTATGACAAAAATTATATCTATCGGTATGTACAAACCGTTGGATTATTCTCCAACAGTGCTATTGAACCATGGTGCTAAAACTTTGTTGTTTTCGGAAAATGCTTGGGAATCGTTTATTAAACATTTGCATTTGATAGAATGTTATTTGGAGAACAATCTGTTTGGAAGAAAAACTGCAATCAGGCTCTCAGACTGCGACATCGAGATAGATGTTGTTAAACAGCGAGGGGAGCAGCAAGTTAGATTTAGGGAGCTAACCAAACACGATGAAAGAATTTTACTTACCAATTTTGAATTTTATTTATTGAGTTGTTCTACATCATCGATAACAAGATACATGAGGCAGCTAGTTTTTTCTTCCCCTGTCGTGAAAGATTACTTAGTGGAAACGATGGAAAAACAACCCGACGTTCAGATATTGCATGGACCTGTGGATACATCGATATTCAACCGGATACCAGAAGAGGTGGAAATGTGGAGACAAGTTAACGCGTTGGAACAGAGGGAAAACATCGACGAAGAAAAGATAGAAGGATCTAGTTCTGTGAGTGTAACGGAGGAACAAGTGACGGAGGAAAACCACGAAACAATTTCAACAGTAGCAGAACAGACGAGTGATGTTAAAGGTGTAATGAATTTGCAAGACGGAGAAAAAATAGAAGAAATAAAAAAGGAAACAACAGATAAGCTGTAGCCGATGTAAACAGGACAGCAAATATGTTAACATCACGTGGGGTAGGCCTACTGGGGGGGGGAAGGTGCCCACGTTAAATATACACCAACGCGCTGACAACTGTACGGCCTGATCTATAAAAAAGGGATCTACCGTGGTGTGGAAACCAGTTGTTATCTTAAAACGATATGGAGAGGAAGATTTCCTTCGCTGACAGAGTTGAAGAGATTCAAGAAAAACCTTGTGTAGTGGAATTTCAAGCTTTTCGAGGAAACAAAAATGAATATATCATAAAGGAACTAGTATTCCTAGATTTAAATACAGGAATTGTCTTTCCATTTCTATTTGAACCTCCATTCGCATTTAATAATCTCAACAGTAAAACGAAAAGAACCAATAAATGGACTACGAGATACTTCCATAGTATCGATTGGTGTGAAGGGTTTACAAACTACAAGAGTCTCGAAAATATTATGTATCATTTTTGTAATGAGTTTACAACTGTATACACAAGAGGATTAGAAAAACGTAATTGGATACAAGCATATACGACTCGGCAAGTTTACGACGTGATATTGGATAAGAATTTCGAATCTCCCAAGTTGGAAAATATATGTCGACTAGTAAAAAACAAACAACATACACAATCACAGTGCGCATTGAAAAATGTATACCGATTAGCAGCTTTTTTGGAGCCAATGAGGAGTGGTGGGGGTAGCGATGGGTATAAATACGAAGAGCAAACCTTGACAATGCATGAGTATTACTCTAGACTCCAAGCTAGCAACAACGACGAACTAAATAAATCATGAGTTCACATTTCCTACAAACGTTTGTTGATCAATTCAACGCACAGTCCAAATCAAACTGTTTACTTACTAAAAAGTGTTCAGAACTAAAAGAAAACAAACATTATACAATTCACAATATCAAGAAGATTGACACTTCCATCGGGGATGCCATCGTGGTTTCTTTAAGTGATGCACCATTTACTTCGGGGGATGAACCGAAGTTTCAAGTATTTCTACCTAAACGATTTGTACATCTACTACAAAATGAAGATCTGAGAAGCATCGAACCCGGATCCCTGTACCTGGTGTCTCGTGGGTCAAGCGGAAACAACTCTACAGAATTATCTCTTCACATGTCACAACGTCCTTAGATTTAAGTTCTGTTTGTAGAATGTACTTTTGTAAAAGATTTAATAAATAAATAAAGAGTAAAAAAACAGCATATCGGTATTTGTTTTGATACCGATATGCTGTTTTTTTTTAACAAATTTGGATGACCTTGAACTTTACAACATAAAAGGGGGGTGTAACATCGGTCGCTCATCAGTCTGAAGTAGAACCAGCTAAAGGAAACCCATCATGAACAACGAATTGTATCGAGTTTTAACACATCCTGCACTAGGGTTGGTGAGTTGGAATTTAGAAGCTGTACTGAAGTTCGAAAGAATAATCAAAAACATTATTGAAATCCAGAGAAAAATAGATAGACATGGTTTGTCAGCAAAAACAAAGTCCAAATATGGTGAGCATTATAAGGAATGTCCATGGTCAAACGATGATGCAACTTGTGGTCCCGATACTTGTGTTTGTTGTAGCATTGGCTTAAACAGAAGTAACATCACACGTTTACTTAATGAGCTAGCTTTGGTTCTCAAACCATATGAAACCAGATCATCTGAATAACAAAAAAATATCTCTAGGTTTAAATTTTCAAATTTAAATCTGCAAACATCACTACACCTAAGTTTGTTACAATCACATAAAAGGGTTGCCACAGTATTCCAGCGTTCAGTTTGCACACTCTAAGGTTCACGATAACACGATGGGTACCAACGTGAGTGCTTGGAGTTTAATCTCGCAAGAACCTCGATTTCCTCACGGAGTGTTATCCGATAGTTTTGTGCAACGTTTCGACACGTTTATGGACTGGGAACTTCTTTCTTTGCACTACATTTTCACTATAGAAATGTTGAGGATGTACTTTCACAGGGTGAATTGGTTTCACGTTTTAAAAAGACAACGGTTCTCAGAAGAAATACTCGTAGAGATGATTCCTACTTTCAACAACTGCTGTTGGAAGGAAATTTGTAAATATCAAAACCTTTCTGAAAGTTTTATCGAAAACTACAAAGATCATTTAGATTGGAATTTAATATTTGAACATCAACAAACGAGGGGGATATTCTTAAAGGAGCATGGACAATATTTACCATTTATGAACTTTAGTGATTACAACGGGTCTGACTACGACGAGGAGTGCTCTACCCCACCGCTACAATCAGAAGTCTACACCATTACACCTAATCTTTGCAACGAGACTAAACACAATCAATCTACTCCTTCAGTACGAAATAACTCCATAAATTTACGACCTGACCACAAGTCAAAACAGGAGCATTCTACACCACCATCATCGGGAACCCTCTTCATTACACCTCACCTTCATTTGATTTGTATCTTAGGTTTAGTTTTTGCAAATGTAATAATTTAGCGTAGTCAAAATAATGTTTATTGTAAATATGTTTATCTAAATGTTTGAAATAAATATGGGAAAAATAAAAGCTAGATCGTATCGGTATTTTGTTTCAATACCGATATGTTGTTTTTTAAAATTTACTTTGGATGACCTTGAACATTGCAACGTCTGCTGTAATCAACCAATCAGAAGCTGGTTTTCATTCCACGAAAATAAGGTACCTACCGCATAAAAGGACGATGCGAGACCTACTACTATCCACTTTACTCTCATCGGAGCTCGAAGTAACATGTCGTGGTGTATAAAACATCCTGAATATTCAAAAGAAAATGATAGGATCAACTCGTACATACACGCCCGAACGAGAAGTTTTGTTAGCGAATGTAGAATCGAACTCGCTGAAGCAGGATTCTTCTACGCAGGAAAAAAGGACCAAACGATTTGTTTTTACTGCGGTGGTGGACTACACCATTGGCAAGATATCGATGATCCTTGGGAAGAACACGCGAAATGGTTTCCCAAGTGTCCGTTCGTATTGGTACACAAAGGACAAGATTTCGTCAACGAAATGAGATCCAGAACCGAAAGAAACGCCCTACAAAAGAAAAGGATTCCAACAAACAACATTGCTGTACCCCCACCGATAGAAGAATCAAACATCGAGTGTATAATATGCATGAACAAAAATCGTAATCTACTCTTCTTGCCATGCAAACACTGTTTCGCTTGTGACATATGCGGATGGAGATTCGATAACTGTTGTTACTGTAGAGCTCCTATAATTTCTATGATCCAAGTGTTTTTAGTTTAGATCTGTATTAGGTTTAAGTTTTTAAAACAGCTATATTCCTTATATTGTGTGTATTTTAAATTTTCAATAAAGAATTAACAAAAATCAGCATATCGGTATTCATCCCACTACCGATATGCTGATTTTTTTTAAACCCAAACAACGACCTTGAAAATATCGATCCACCCTAGCTCTGACACGCCACCATGACATAACCCACTACACCATGTCCTAGGTCACGTGCTAGGTCATAAACCGATGCTTATATAATATCATACAGTGTAAAAAGATTCATGTTCAGCAATGAAGTGATAGATATATTAGAAAGACTAGAAGACGGTGAAAGAAGCCTTACCTAACATTTGAACATATTTAACAGTGAAATTAGTTAAATTGAATAGTTTTCTGTACTACAACTAGCAATAAAAAAACATTCAAACAGTTTCACAAAAGGACAAACGATAAACAGAAATACGTTGGATTACAATACAACCAAGAGTAATGAGAGTTAACATTTGCTTTAAATAAATAGTAAATTATAGGGTAAAGAGTGGGAAATTTGTTTTTATATAGCTTGATCGTTTGTACGTCTAACATTAAGCAATGTACAATATACCAAATGTTTGTTATTTTAAAAATCATTCAAAAACATAACGATTTGGATGAATAAACAAGTCTTAGAAATATAAGGTACTATGTTGCAAATGTGGCACATGGTTGTAATTAGTGGAACAATGCTCTGCCCGCATGTACCGCCAACTGTTCACGAAGAAGTAGAAACACTGTGTACATTACTTTTCCATACCAGTTAAATAGCTGATACACCTTGCAGGATTAAAGTGATATTTTAGTTTAGTTCTGAATTTATGTTTATAATGGTGACATAATAAAATAGTGGTTTTTAATAAGTTTTCTCACAGAAACATTGCAAACCAAAATCCAAACACTTTTCGTAATATGTACATAATAACAAACTTTTCACTTGACGATCTTATAAAATGCAAAGACAAAAGTGGAAATATTTCAATTGCGAATGTTTGCTGTATACCAGATAGCAATCATAAACAGCATAAAAGAATGTGTATGATGGGTCTCTCATTAGTCTGTAGTGGAACTAGCTAAAGACAACATCTCATTAACAACAAATTATATCGCAAACATTGCAAAGGTAACATGTACAAATAGTTATCTCCAACAGTTTTATGTCGTATATATAGCTAATTTCTCAAATTTAACAAAATTCCTACTATGTTTCCAATAAAAGAAGCAAACTTTGAGTGTATAATATGCATGGACAAAAAATCGTAATTTACTCTTCTTACCAATGCAAACACTGTTTCGCTTGCGACATGTGTGGATGACAATTTGACAACTGTTGTTACTGTAGTAGACCTAACTCTATGATCCAAATGTTTAGTTTAGCTTAGATCTGTATTAGGTTTAAGTTTGAAAACAATTATATTCCTCGTATGTCAATTTTGATTTTTCAATAAAGAATTTAAAAATCAGCATATCGGTACTTATCCCTTTACCGATATGCTGTTTTTTTTTAAACCACAACAATAACCTTGAAAATATCGATCCACCTAACTTTCACACCTCAGCATGTCGTCATCATGACGTCACCATACCGTAACCCACCACACCACGTGCTAGGTCACGCACCATTACCACCAGATGCTTAACCGTCAATTAAGCACCACATGGCTCTTGTGACGTCACTCCTCAGCAGCCCTATGTATCCACTACTTGTATACATCTTGTTCATTTATTGGTATATTAACACAAACTAGCAATTTTCAAAAATGTATGTACATTATCTACAATAATCCGTTAATATAATCATCACGATGTTCATTTTACTATTTTACTCAACATAGATCGGGGTTTTATTCCATAAATAGAACAACCACGTAATAAGAATAGGCCTAAATTCGTTTATCCACCCACCTTTATTCTGGTATTGTCCCATATTAATCTGAAGGTCACAAAATTAATCATGGGTAATATACCAAGGATAAAAAGAAGTTGTTATTCTAAATAAAAAGAGTTTTTTTTATTATATAAACCCCCCAAGTTACAGATCAATTCGTAATATTTCCAAAAAATCAACAAGAAAAATCCACTTTTATGACTCTGTGGCGATAAACGCAAACCCTAAATATTGTAAACCGAAACGAAAATAAAAATAAACCGGCATTACGGCAGATACAAATAATGATGCAGTAAAGTATAACAAGAGTTATTATATTTACAACATCGACTGGGTCAGCAATTCCCTCGGCACAAAGCCAAATGTCTTCCAATTTGTGGAGCCTAACGTCCGTCCAGGACAACAAAACTGTCATATGTGATATTTTTATAAAATTAACTTGTAATGCTTTTCAAAGTCTTCATCAGCATCGTACGTATTCTATTAAATTACTATGTTATTATATTATGTTATTATTAAATCATTAAGTCAAAGCATAATACACTAATAACAGCATAAAACACATGTCATCAGTACAAGAGCTTTCTATAAAATCACATTCTAAGTTTGCAAAAAGATGGTTTAAATTGCATTTAAGTTCAATCAAAATTGTTTTCAATATACTAAAGATTTTAATTTTAACTGATTAATTATATAAAGCATGTAATGTCTTGTTGTGGAGTTTTTTTTTTTTTTTACTTACATATATCTGACTTGTTGCATACGTTATACGAAAAAATATTCTGGTGACTATATTAGCAATAAGGTTTAGATAATGATGAATAACTTACCATTTACAAAAATATCAAGTATCTGTATGACTAATTATCCGTGTGGTACAATATACAGGGTGTTTCCAAATTTTCTGGACATATTTTCTGGGCTTGTTCCTTGGTTAAGACAAACATAAAATGCCGTATAAGTATGGGTCTAAAATAGATTTCTGTTTGTCGGTCCGTTTGTGATTTTTAAGAATTATCTCTAGGACATTTTTCGAGATAGAAATTTCAAAATTAGTACAAATGTCTATTTTAGTAGGTAAAAAGAGCTTAGAATGTTTCTTTCCAATATATCAACCCGCTTCAATATGGCGGCCATTTAAAATCTTTAACGCAAAATTTCATGAAACCCGTAAATATTAATAGATTTGTACTTTGGATGAAAAAGATACAGAATTTAAATACAAATAAAATGAGAACTTTCTTGTTAAAATAGGATGACAATCTATATGTATTGAATTGATATGAAAAAGCTTAAGGTACTAGAAATCTTATTCACTAAATATTTGGTAAGTAACCGGTCTTATTAAAGCATATGTAATTTTGCATAGCCAAACACTACAAAATTAAAATTTCATAAAATTACTTCCGTATGTCCTTTCAACGAAGATGTAGTTTAAGTTATCTAAATGTTAGTTTCTTCGTGTGAGGATGTCTGTGTATATCCTCCACTTAGACAACTTAATTATGTAATCCGATGCTGCGGTTGGCGTATAACATCGGTAGATATTTACTAATTATCTGCTACATTACACCGTTACTGTATCAAAACCCTTTACGTTGGTATCTAGTGAACCCCTACCATATGTAGATGACACATGTTGTACAAGGTATTTTTTGGTTAAAACTTAATGAGGTAGTGGGAGATAGGTGTAAATTAGATAAAGGAAAATGTAATACATTTTTTATACATGTAAAACATTCCTGGCTAGTTTTACGACACGTATTGGTACATTTTCTTTCCAGGGCCTATTTGGATCTGTTTAACATAAACTAGGTCATAATGTTCATAAACTACCGTCAAACCCGTCAGGATAATTCTGATAACGTTGCTTTTAAACCATATCTACCGAGCATTGTATGGTAAATTCAAATTAGTTAATATTTTAATGCTCATCTCATAGAGATAGGTGACCTTTTATACAAAGGAACTCCCCTTCTTCTCTAACGTATCCAAACCATGGCAAAATCAACTTCCAGTTGATATAATTTTTAATATATTAACGAAACTGTCATAAGTTTCAATAAATAGTGAAACTAACTATGTTGTAAGACATTAAACACATTTATAAAATTGTTCTTTTTTCTTGAGGTTTCAGTCTCAAGGATTAGGGTCAATAAGCAGTGTATTTCATAAGCATAGACATAAATAAGACAATATATATTTTACAATGTTCTGTTTATAGGTAGGCGAGTTTCACTATTTTAGAACCAAACCCTGCTATTTATCAATATTTATCAACTGTTGTTTAGATGTGTGTTTTTATATTTCCTGCACACCAACGTGGCTTCTGCTTCGCCATTCTACAAGACGTCACCACGTGTGATACTAGAATGTCAATCAGCTGACATCCACATGCAACTGCGTTTGTGTTCAAAAATATGTTTTGCACTACGCACAGGTTGAGAAATGGAGGTGTTGACGAAATTCCAACTAGATATCAAACATCAAACCTTACTGTAAGATTAAGTTTGAAGTCAAACAGGTATGGGTCAGGTGTATTTACTGGAGGTTAAAATCAGAATTGACTGTTGATCGGTCTTTTGGGTCAGTAGACTCAACGTATGGCGCATATATAGTTAATAATTTTTGTATGACTAATTTTCTTACAGTTTGTCTACATAACACATGTAAAGTAGAGCTTCAATTACTTACCCAACTTCGATAAATGTATGTGAGATGTAGCTTTTACGACAATACATATCATTTACGGCATTAATGCCATTTAATTGATAGTTTTAATCTGTTTACAGTGAATTAACAGTGATTGTGCAACAGTATTCAGGTTTTAACCCTTCATTATTCTTGCTGCTGTGAAGCCATTTGATGTTTGTTCGTCAATATAAGCGCAAACAATCAACGACAATGTGTCAGTATGGTCGAATCTTTAGAAATATATGTTT